ATATTTATATATATATATATATATATATATATATATATATATATATATTTATTTACTTCAGAGAGGAAGGGAGAGGGAGAGAGAGATAGAAACATCAATGATGAGAGAGAATCATTGATTGGCTGCTTCCTGCATGCCCCCTACTGGGGATCGTCCAGAAACCCAAGCAAGTGCCCTTGACTGGAATCAACAGGGGACCCTTCAGTCCATAGGTCGATGCTCTATCCACTGAGCCAAACTGGCTATGGCTAAACTGGGGTTTATATTTTTTTATCATGGGAACAAAAGTGTGAATCCTAAATATCTTCTGCAAATATACACAGAATTTGCATTTCAGTCAAAACTAAAAAAAACAAAACACACACAAACACACAAGTAATTGCAATTTGTTTTCTCTGTCTATTGCTAATCCAGGTGACCTCTTTTACTAAGGTACATAATAATATTTTTATGTAAAGACATTATGAAGGCAAATATATTATAAAAACCTTCACAGGGCATTATGAAATTAAATTCATAACTATTATTAATTTAATGTTTGAAACTAAACCTCACTTCTTTCCATTAGACTAACCATGTCTCCTTCACTCTCACTTGACTAGTTTTTTCATACTAGGCTTACATCAAGGATATTTTAAGTTTGTTTCTAATCATCAATACTTAGAATATCTACAAGAATACTCTTTAATTTCTAAAGGGGTAATCAGATTTGCTTCCTTTTGAGTTACCTACTCATATTATTAAACATTTGTATCTGAAAAACGGAAAGAAAATAAAATGTGCACATCCTATGATCCAACAATTCTACTCTTTGGCATATACTCAACAATTGTATTGGCTAATGCAGTAGTCACTTAGCTACATGTAGCTATTGAGCCCATGAAATGTGTCTGGACTGCATTGAAATCTGTCAGAAGTGTAAAATACACATATTTTGAAGATTTAATATAAAAAAATTTAAGGACCTAATTTAAATGTATTTTTAGATATTGATTATAGTAGAAACAGGAATATTTTGGATATAATAAAGTTATTAAAATTTTTAAAATAAAAAGTAAGAAGATGAATAAAACTTGTTATTAGCACAATAGTTGAAACTTTGGATATACATTTCTGTTAAAAAAAGAAACCGAAACCTGGCTGGTGTGGCTAAGCTATTGATTGTCAACTTATGTACCAGGTGGTCACTGGTTCCCAGTCAGGGCACATGCCCAGATTGCAGGCTCCATCCCTAGTGCAGTGGGTGCAGGAGGCAGCCAATCAATGTTAATGGTTCTCTTATCGATGTTTCTATCTCTCTCTCCCTCTCCTTTCCTCTCTCTCTAAAAGTCAATAAAAACAGATTAAAAACAAAAAAGAAACACAGGCCAAAATGCAGTCACTTTGCTAAGCTATGTCACCAAACCAAAGCTTAATAACTAATTTAATTGCAGTTTCAGCCTCAGTAGAATTTTGAACCAATCACTCTGGAATTTTCTGATGAAATAGTGAAGTAAACCGCCTGATAAGACCCCTACCTTCCCAAAGGGAAGGTGGCTTTGCCTAAAATAATCCACTCTTTTAGCTTTTTTCTGCCTATAAAACCTTCCATTTTGTACAACTCATGGGTTCCTCCTATTTGCTGCCTAATTTAAGAACTATATATAAAAAAAGCCTAAGCAACCGTTACACTGGTCGACCGAAAGACCGGTAGACCAGTT